CAAATTTGCATGCGAAAACAATGAAATTCCGTTGGGTCCTTGGGTGTGCTGCTGTGCGGCTGTCCTTGCCTTATTGAAATGTTCACTCGTCCTTGCAGGCCTCACCATAATACACACCTTGAGGAGAAATTGGGGGCTGGAGCAGCCCGAGCAGCAGCTACAAAATGTAATGTCCTTAATGATATTGCCAAAGGAATTTTAATTAAACTATTTCCTGCTTCAACTGGCGCCCACTCAAAACCCCTCCACACCCACACCCACGCCCCCCTGCCATGCCTTTCGGGGCGTGGCCTAAGCAGCTTCAAATGTGCACAAATATTGAAATATTTATGGAACAGCCAGCCAAACACATGAGCAAAGTAAACCCTATCCAATCCGATACGAAACCCAGCAGCAGCAGCAGCAGCTCCATCCTGAGGCTCTTGCTCTGCCCCGTAATGCAATTTTAATTTCTTCCCGTCGCACAGCAGGTTGGCAGGCAGGCAAATGTCAGATGTAGGATGGTGGAGGTCATGTGGCAGGGCATCAGCTGTGCAGCAGTAATACCCGCCCTCTGCTGATACTCCTGCCCCATGCCCCTGGTTCGGGGCGCCTCGTTTCCGTCAGCTCTCAGCCATCATTTCCGCTGCTCATTTTTTGACTGACTTCTGACAAATTTGTATAGATTTGCTTTATGTTTGTCTTGTGTTTGTCTTCTTTTGCTGATTTGATTGTCGAAATGATGAACAATTTTCGATTGTCTGTGTCTCTGTGTGTGCCTTTTTTCGGTGGCAATCAGCAGAAAGGCTGGCAGGCAGGTCCGCAGCGGAAGCCCTCAGATGTTGCACCTTCCACACAGTGCTTTAAAGCGTTTCTTGAATGCCAGAAGCAACATAAATTGCGGCTAGAGACATTTAGGAGGGGTGGGGGGGTTTGGCGAACATTGCCCCAAGTTTTGCGCCACTAAAACTTTGCATCAATATGCAGCAGCAGTTGCCCCCCAGGACGCCACACGCCTAGCCACCCACCCACCAATGGAAGCTGGAAATGCAGCCATAAGGAAATTTCATTATTACCGCGCTTACACGCTAATGAAGCATGTAGAATATCAATGTATATAGTTGTGTGTGTGTGTGTGTGTGTGTGTGTGTGAACTCTCACTCATCCACTGCTATAAATGCACTGAGATAAAAATTTGTCAATCAATTTATATCTCTACTTTGGATGATATCCAATGGATGATATTCAATGACACTTAAGATACAAAACATGGCTCTGAATAGCTCTGAATATCTGTAGGTTCGGAAGATTCGTCGAATAAGAATTTAACGATCTGATCTTGATTCAAGACTATTCCATTATTCTTCCAGAGATATGTATTCTTGTCTTACCCCACTTCTGCAGGGTCCACCATTTCGATCCAATATTTTTGCGATAACCTTTCGTATCATTCCTTGTACCTTGAGCTTATCTTTCTATAGACCCAATCTTTGCTAAATATTCTGTAAGGCCTCAAACTATTATTCGTTCCTGTCCTTCCCTTTATCTTTTAGCCACAGATTCCTTATAAGAATTTAGGAAATTTCTCTTCGCATCATTCCTCATTCGGAGTCTCGCCATTCTTTGCTCATCTTTGCAACGTCTTTTCGTTTTTCTCAGTGTGAATCTATTCTTATATATGTGTCTATGGGTGTGCGTATGTGTGTGTGAGCGTTTCTAGTTTTATTGCAAATGTGTGTAATGAATGTAAATTAGTAAAAAGTTTTCAGCCAGAGGTGGGGTTGGGTGGAGAGGTAGATGGGAAGCGTAAGAGTGAGGGTGAGACTGAGGAAAGCTTTTGCCAAACTATCCTGCGGCTGGCAAGGATCTCTTTTATGTACATGCGAGTGCGTATCTGTGAGTGTGCGTATCTGTGATGTGTGTGGCTTATGAATAGCATTCGAATTAGACAAACTGCAGGTGTGTGGATGTTAATTATGAACAGCAGCGCATCCACGCACCCTGAAAGGCGGCGCCTGCCAGGACGTACTCCACCGGATCGACACTCCACTGCCGCTTGATGGCACTGTACTTCTTATCCCCAAAAAAGCAATGGCCGTCTAAGCCAATTAGTGGCGATATGCAAATGCGCTACTCGCTGCAGGTTATTTTCCACAGTTTTCTAACTGTTAATTATCCCTTAAATAATAACATTTAATGGCAAACACAATTCCGCACTTTGAGGCATTAGGCGGCAAACTTTAAAGTTCTTATTGGGGGGAGGGAATGGAAACCCAACAGCTGCAACTTATTAGATGCGTTGTCTGGTTTATGCAAAACCAAAGGCAACATTGGCCCCTGTCCGGGACCCTGGAACCTGGAGCCTGGACCTCGGACTTAGACTCAGACTCGGACGGCACCTGCCTCGTGCAGCACAGCAGAGTCCTCTTCTGGTATTCAACGCCTTGTACCGCCCCCTAGTTCCATTTAAAATAAGCAAAAGCAAACTAACAAAATTCGTTTATCAACGCCATGCTGTCTGCAGCTCAAGGAAAGTTCAACCAAGGTGCAAAATAATTTGTTGCAATCAGCTTAGCCTGCAAGCTGAGGATGGCCCTCATGCCACAGCATGCCACCATCCCCATCCGCCCCCGACCCTGGCCAACAGGGGCCCCCAAGTGCGAGTGGGAGGTGGCCCGAAAGCCGGGCAAGTTTTCAATTTAAGTTGAATTATTATGACCTTAATTAACACGTCGTTTCATCATCAAATGCTGCACTACATCTTATGCTTTTGTTGTAGATATTTTTGGCATGAAGGTTGGGCTTTCCACCTGGACGCAGGAGGATAGAAGACGGTGGTGGTTTGGAGGATGCGGATGTGGATGCGGATGCGGACGTTAAGCTGCTGATTCGATTTTCTGCAGACATGCACTTTTGCCAGAAAGAAGAAGCAGCTCCATGAGCTAGAGCATCTCTAATCCCAGCGCCAAGTAACTGTTGCTCTGACTCTGGGTTTGGGGCTCACAGGGTCTGGCCTGGCCTGGCTCCGCCACACTGCCTCTACCTCTGCCCTGGTCTGGGCTGGTCTGGTCTGGCTCTGGCCTGGCCCGTTCAGGGTTTTACTAATTTTGGTTTTAATTAAATTCAAACTATGTTGACGCTGCTGGCACTGACGATGTGGATGATGGCAATGATGCCCCTGAATGCTGATGCTGATGCTGATGGTGATGGCGATGATGACCGGCTTCCATATTACTTATGTAGCTAAATTCTGATGCACCTTGTAATTGAATGACCGAAATGTAAATTGAAAATGCCAGAAACAGCTCAACTTCCAAGTTGGAGCACTTAAAGGGGCAGCATAAATCTGGGCACAGGACCAATAGCGAGACGGAGAAAGAGAGAGTCATCATCTGTTGTTCCTCTACTGCTGATATTTGCCTTATGATTTCTTTTTAATTTCCCAGAGGTATTTAGGGGAAAAATTTAATAATATCAAATATGAGGACAACGCGGAATGGACGACTACTACGAGTACTATGGGTATGGGCCAGTCCTGCGGATTCTCTGGCCGGACATGCGTGCCCCATAGCACGAGTACATGGACTTTTTCATGTGTATTTGTGAGCAAACATTCAACAATGCGATCTCCCCCACCCCATTCTGCCAAGCTGCTGCTGCTGCTGCTGCTGCTGCTGCTGTGGGATTCCCCGTTGTGTGTGTCTGGACTTCCGCTTGGCTAAATTTGTTTGCACTTTTTCCCCGCTTCCTGCCACACCACCCCACCCCACCACACCCCACACTCATAATTTCATTTTGAAATGTTTGCCTAAGCGACAAAAATGTACTTATTTTTTGCATTCATTTCTATGTAGTTTTGTACCCTGACATATGGCACTAAGCCCGCTCCACATTATTATAACTAGGCTGGAGTCCACTCCAATGTCCGATGGGGCGTCAAAAGACAACAGCTCAGAGATGGAGAATTTGAGAATTGGAGAACCGAAAGCTAGGTCCGGCCCATTAAACAGACTCTGAACACTTGGCAGCACTCAGCACGTGATTTGCATACACTTAAGCAGCTGAACCAGGTCCTGCACCAGAATTCTCCTACCCACCAGCCCCCAACCCCCAAGCCACACTTAATTACATGCCAAATGAAAAGTTCGAAGAAATATATAAGGAAAAACCAAAAATAGAAACAGGAACAGCACCAAAAATTAAATGTGCGTTAAATTGACAGTAAACATGGCCTGCATTTCAATGACACCAACCGAAAACGAAAGGGGTTCTTAAAGCCATGAAGGAGCATGAAAGCCCCCATCAATTCTGAGAAGAAAATCCCATTCTAAAAATACATTTTCGGGGAAATTCTTTAATGAAGAATAATGTTCCATTATCGTTCATCTATAACTTTTATCCAGCCATCCCTTGGATACTACAATCTTCATTTTAGAGAACCTATTTGAGGGGTCCTGTTTCTCATGTATTGACTATGGCCCGGCAACAGATGTCACCAGGCACTAAACAAAAATTTAGTTTAGACTCATTAGAGTGTCCCTCTCCACGGAAATCTTTAGTAAAAGGCGAAAGATTTATTCGACAATTGAAGAGAAACCAGAGTGATTTAAAACCCCGAAGAAGCTGCCTCTGTACTTCACATGCACTAGAACCAGTTGGGAATTATAAGACATCGCACCCTACAAAGGTACTCATGGAACATGGAATATTTCCTTTGAATAAGTATTTTGCTGGATAGCATAAAATTCGGAATCCGCCAGATCGGACCTCTTAAGTTTATACATACTCAAAAAGATTTCAACAAAATCGGATCACTATATCATAGGCAACTCTATGGCAATGAAAACACGAAACATTTTTTGTGAATTTCGGAGACAAAGAGTGCCTTGACAATTTTGAATAGGCTTGTGTATCACATCCAGTATAGATATTCTCATTACAGAGTCGGCAGCCGAGCCAAGACGATCTAAAGAAAGTAAAAAGATATTTGAAAAAAAAAAAATTAGAAAAATTGTCGAAAAATAAAAAGTGAAAATTTTGTTTGAAACTTTTTCGAGTGAATATAGTTAGTGAAAGTGAAAAAGTAAAGTTAGTAAATTAGTAAAACTAAATCTTTTGTCGGCATGGACGCCGTTCGCAATCCTCGATCTCAATCGGCAAGGGCCAGGTGCATCGCCGCTCAAAAATCTCAATTGATGGTAAGTATTTGGGAAGGAGGCTATTATCTGGACATCTGTGGTGAATGTTAAATGGGATGTGCTACACAGAATGAAAAATACAGTGAGGAAGAAAAAATGACGATCGCTGAAATGAAACAGCTCTACCTGCAGACCATCCAACTGGATGTGGAGCTGCAGCGCGAGATCTACAACATGGAGAAGAAATTTGAAAGCAAGCACAATGAGATATTTGATCAGCGCAAGAAGATCTTGCAGTAAGTCCCTCAGCCACCCCAATCCCAACCTCTGTTCCCTACATAATTCTGGTGGCTTCCTCAGGGAATTTAAGAAGAAGAACCATGGTGATTCCACGCCTAATGAGAACGTGACCAACTTTTGGTTGCGTGTGCTGAAGGCCTCTTACACGGAGTTTATCAGCAAGAAAGATGAGAAGATTTTGGCGGTGAGTATTAATACGAAATTATATATTATAATATGACATTTAAGGCAAAGTATGACTGACATTTAAGGAAAACTATAGCTGGTGTTTAATGAATAGTATAACTGACATTTACTTTATTGACATACCTGACTACGGGATTACATATTATTCCAATTTATAGAATTCAATTCTGATTACAATTCCATAATTTCAAAGGTAATCAAAGGTGCAGCTCCTTTCCTGCCTTTGTTCCATAGGCAATATTATTTTACACATGTTTCAATTAATTCTAAGAACATACATACGAGGAATATAATGCCGTCCCTTTAGGCAATAAATCCCTTTACTGTAGGAATGCGATCTTTCATAAACATAAAAATCATCATTCGCATTCTGATTCTGAGTCAAACGAAGGCCTGGCCCCCGCAAAGTCAATAAATGAATTCTCAGAAAACCAAATGGTCATCGTCTGTGTTGTTTTAAGCAATTCAATACTCCATTGCAAATTCTCATGGGTACTAGGCAGCTGTTGTTTTTCAAGTGCTTAATGCCATCCAAATCTGCATATCCAACAACTTAGTTTGTACTTTTTTCTACCACAGTATTTAACCGACATACGCACCAAGCTGCACAGCGCTCCGGTGGTTAAATTTGAGGTGCAATTCCATTTTGATAAGAACGAATACTTCAGCAATGATGTCCTAGTGAAGACCTATTACCTCAACTGTCAACCGGACAGTGATGATCCGCTATCATACGATGGCGCTGAGATCTACAAGACTGAGGGCTGCAAAATTAATTGGAAGCAGCCCAAGGATCACATGAACAATGGTAAGAAAGGGTAACGTAACTGATTGATCTGATTGATTGAACCATCTTCGAATGGAACAGATTCTGAGCAAACATTCTTCGAGTTCTTCAATCCACCAACTTTGCCAAAGGATATTGATGATCCAACCTACTGTGATATTAATGTAAGATGAGTAATTCTTTCGTCACGGCTTAACTTTTTATACAACTTTATCGTTTATAGGCCATATTGCAGAATGACTTTGAACTTGGCTTTTATCTGAAGGAGCGTGTAATTCCCAAGGCTATTATATTCTTCACAGGCGAAATAGCCGACTGCCAGAGCTCTAGCGAGTCGGACACAGACTCTGATGACACGGATGAGTCGGATGCCGAAGAGGTGGAGGACGAAGGGTCCTCCAATGGCGCCGATAAATAAATACAGAACCTTTACATACCTTACACATTCATACACACTATGGTTTCTACTACACTACTACTACTTATACTACACAGTGCAATGCGGGTTCCCACACATGAGTTTTTACAATATTTCATGGCTTTTCTTACAATTTCAGGAGAGATACCAAATAAACATTACACTTGATACATATGTCTACACATACCCAAATACAAAATATTTCAAAGCTTTTCCCCCAACAATTCCAAAGAAGATACCAAATAAGCATTACACATGATATACACATATGTTTCACACGTAAAACTACAAATAAACGTTTCATTATACCAAAGGATTGTTCACGTGTTTTAATGCCTAACTATAAATGATAGGGTTTATACATTCATCCGGGCCCGACGCTATACATATCTTCGAGCCTGACGTATAGTACAAGAGCGTTTAGTGTGTATGGTGGGGCGGGGGCGTAATACTAGAGGGGCTTGAGCTACAGCACTTGCTTGTAGACAGCCGTGGTTGTGGTTGCTTTTTTTCAGGCTTGGCCATGCTTCCGTCGTCTCACTAAAAGTATTCAAGCCAGGACGTGCCATAGGCGAAGAAAATACTCGTACAACAAAATACAAATACAATTGGATGGGAGGTTTGGAGCGGACTGTGTATCCTAGTTTCAGGAATTCTTCTAGGCCACATCGTCAAAATCGAATGGAGGCGGAGGCGATGGTGGTGGCTGCTCCTCGTCGGGTGCATCATCCGGTGCATTGCTTGGTGGTGCCGGCTGCTCAGGTTCTTCTGGTTCTTTCGGTTCCTCCGGTGGCTTAACATCCTCATCAATATCCAAATGCGCAGCCACTACCTCGCACTCTGGCTTCAATTCCTTGAATTTACGCAATCCAATCACCGTAACGCCCGTGCCACTCACATCGATGAATACTAGGAAGGGCGAGCATTGTACCAGATGCTCCAGTGTGTGGTTGGTAATGTGCTGATAGTTTCGCAGTGATATCCGCTCGAGGCGGTTGTCCGGTGACCGGTTGATGTTGCGTATCCAGACGACGTCCGGCTGCACGGGTCTGGCTGCTCGCCCAAAACTGTAGATGGCCCGATCCGAGACATAGTACTGCGGTGGTGGGCCTGGATTGGATGTCTGGCGGTGGCGCAGTCGGCGGGCATAGTCTCTGTCCAGGGGATCCAACATGTTCCAGAACATTGGATGGTGAACCACCTGGTCGAAGTTGCCACGCGCCAGCGAACGCCGCCGCGCTGAGTGCATGACAAGCATTGGCTCCCTGATGGCTCCCATGGCCTGCGGGTTCATGTAGATGACTTGATCGCGTCGTGGCAGGAAGCGGCTGTGTGCCGGATTATTGCCGCGCCAGGACCTCAAATGGTCTGCCATCTGATCTAGTATGGACTGCATGTTGGGCTGTGGATTCTCGCCAGGGCCTTGGCCCCCGGGCACGTAGACGTAGGCGCGTGGTGCCGGTCCAACTCCAGCCCCAGCTTCGTCTGGTTCAGCGTTGTCGGCCTGTTCCGCGGCCGGTGGCATGCCCTGGCGCACGGCGGCAACACTTGGCAGGGCTATCACCACTAGAGGCGACCGCACGGGAGCATTGGGATCGATACCGCCGCTGTGGCCGTTGCTGCGCGGGGCTGCACTGTCGGACTTGTCTGACGAGGACGCTGACGCCGAAGACGTATCCTCATCTTCGGACTCGGAGGACAAACACACTCGCTTTCCCGAACATGATGCACTGGACGCTGGCGCTGGTTCATCCGTTCTTTCGTCGCTGGGGTCCGAGTGGAATATCTCGTGGCATTGCCTAGGCGCATCGGAGGACTCAGGCTCGTTAGGGTCGATGCCCCGTGACATTTTGTAGGTACGCAAATGCGCCATAGCAGCGCGAGATGTGGACGGCTCGTCGTCATTTAGCACTTTCAGAGATTCCGATTGCGATGTGGCAGCCTCGTCATTTCCATTGTTCACCTTTTCAGGCGATGCCGCTTCCGACGGCGGATTAAGTGGGGATTCCAGCAGTAGCTCCTTAAGGTTCTCAATAGCACTGAAGCATTGCAGATCCGAGTTATTTATGGGCGTTAGACGCAGATCGAGCACCTGTTGAACGAATTGAAATAGATTTCTCATAACAGAGACCAATATCAATGCCGTTGACAAACCTCTAGCTTCATAAAACCAAATCGTGCCGCCATGCTGCCGTAGGGCACAAACTTGCACAGCATCTGGCAGCCCTTGAGGCTGAGGCGTCGCAGCGAGGGCAGCTTGGAGAGGGCCATGATGTAGTATGGCTCAAACCAGTTGTTATCCTCGATGCTGAGATCCTGCACGAGGCAAGTGAATACATTAAGAGCTTCTCAGAGCTATGATCTGCTCCACTCACCTCCAGGTTAACCAATTGCATCTCTATCGTATGGAATATGCTCTTGCCCTGATCCCCAACTTTGACACTGCAGTCCTTGAGCTTGAGACGCTTCAGAGAGCCAGGAAACTGTGTAATCCGTATCTACATTTTGAAAAGTAAGCCATTTATAATTAAATGTTACTTTTTTTTATCTGACTCACATATTCAAAGTCCAGGCTGACGCCCTGCAGCTCCAGCACCTTCAGCTGTGTGGCCACTTTTGGAAAAACAGTGGTCAGGGTGCAGGTGAACTGCCGGAACTCGCCCGCAACATGCTGCGACGATGGCGGTCCGCAAATTTTAATTGTGTGGGTCTTTTCTGTGGCACGACCCAGTATCTCCTCCAATATGCCCAACGGCAGGGGGCCGTTACTGAGATCGATTCCGTGCCAGAACCGGTGATCCAGCAGCAAGTTCTCCAAACGCGGCGAGCAGCTGACCAAACAAACGACAAAAGAAGTGTATTGGAGTAGTCTCTTGCCTTCGCGACTTACTGCATTAGGGCCATTATGGATGGCGTGTCCAGGTGCTTGAAAATCTCGTATAGAATTTCATCGCAAAAGCCGAGCAAGTGGTGCTCCTGGAAGTCGTCCCCTTTTTTGCGTTGTTTTGTCTTCGGCTCGGGGCGGTAGTCTTGGACAACGGATATCATGGGTGCGGCATCTTTCAGTGCAATCTCGCTGGCCGAGAAGCGCCGCTTTTGCGCTGCAACAAAAGCGCTGCCCACATCGGCGTTATCCATTCTACCCGCTTTTAATGAATGCTTTTCTTGCAATTTTCAATTTTCCAGCTAAAATGCAAGTAAGCAGTGGGATAAAATATACGGTCTGACTCTCGGAAAAATACCGTAATATACCGTAAATATACCGATGAAGAAAGAACTTGGTCCACTTATCCCCTCTTTATTTAAACAGGATATCAGCTTGAGTCACTTGAAGGTCCATCCTATCCATCATCTTTACTTGAAAAACTTTCCCCTGTACTTAGAGCAGATTCAAGTTTCATAATTTTCGTGGAGAGCACCCACTGGTCAACAGTGGGTTAATACAATCGCAATGGACCAAACAATCAAATTTACTTGACATCTACAGTATATGTAACTACAAATCGCGGTTTCCACAGGTTTTATACAAGAACTGGAACAGTGCTGTAAATCGTTGCCAAACACTGAATTTCCGACTCGTGTATTTTGTTGCCGTTTTAAAGAATTGAATTAAAATGTCCCTTTTGAGGTACGTGCGCCGGCTGAATGCCTTGCAAGGCCTTCAGCACTGCCGGCGAGAAGTTTCCAGCGCACCGGCAAAGAGCGCCACGCTCAAATACGACCAGGATCCGCAACCGCTCTTCACCGATAGCGAAACCCAGCGCCTGCTCCAGTCCATGACGCAACTGCAGTTGGACAAGGTGTTCCGCAAGAGGACTGTGAAGGACAACAGGAGCGAAACCAAGTTTATGACCAATGAGCAGCTGGAGACGGAGTTCCTGCAGATCATCGAGAAGGCAAAGCATCTGCTGAAGATGCCGCCTATCGTCAAGATCAAACAAGACACGGAGCGAATCATTGCCAAGGATCCGGCACTGAAAGACTTTGCCACCACCAAGTACGTGTTCACGGACATTACCTTCGGTCTGCCCCACTCGGAGCGCAAGGTGGTGGTCCGCGAGACTGACGGAACCCTGGCCTACGCCTCGCTGGACACGACCAAGCGAATGAATCAGCTTTACTTCCCACTGGAGGGCCGCAAGTCCTACACTCCGCGCATGTTCGCGTACGAGGAGCTACTGCACAAGTGTCTGGAAGAGCACAAGTATGAATTTGTGCTGGACAGGCTCACCGTCCAATACGAACCGTACGAAACCGAGTTTCACAATCTCTCTGCGAGAGTTTTCGAGCATTTAAACGAGTCAAAGCAATTCGATCTGCTGCGTTCCACCCGGCACTTTGGCCCCATGGCCTTCTTCTATGCCTGGCATCGGTGTATCGATGATCTCTTGTACGACATGATCCGGCGGGACTACCTACACAATGCCGTAGAGCTCATTGCGCTGACCTATAAAATTCACAAAATTCCTGTGGAATATACGGAAACGTTGGCTAAGCTAGAGGCTCTACATCCCACGCCCGATGAGAGCGCACTCTCCGAGCTGCGGGGATTCCTGCGAAGGCCCGAGGAGAAGCAGGGCATCGAGCAGGAAATCCATACGGCCATTGGCAAGACGGAGCAGGACTTTGCTGCCGACGACATCAGTTTGAAGTTTATCGAGGAATACATTGCCAGCGAACATTCGCTGAAGAAGGTGCAACTGGAGCTGGCCGTCCAAACGCTGAAAGAGATCAATCTGGAGAAGCTGCAGCTGTTCCAAGGATTGAAGAAAGCGCACGGCGTGCAGGCATCATAAGTGCTTCGATTTATTGTTATTAATTTACATAAATAAATATCGTTTAGGCCAATGATGAGGGCTTGAAGAGTTTCTTTGTCAATTTTCTGTGATGCGCCTGGATGCAGTTGAACCTGTGAATGCCGCACAAGCGCTCATCGTTAAACTTCCTCAGACAGACGGTGCATCGCTTGAGATTGCCCTTCCATCGCGAGGCCGAATGCTTGTCGAACAGAAACAGGGCCTTTGCCTTGTTGCAGCCTTCCTTTTTCTTGCGATGCAGAAGAAAGGACATGGCAGTCCTGAAATGCAGACGACACTCCAGGCAACGATAGAAGGGCACTTTGTCGTGTGAGCTTAGGTGTTTGTACAGCTGTGGCTGCGTTCTGCACACAACATTGCAAAACATATTCGGACACTTGAGGAAAATCGAAGGCTTCTTCGATGGACGGGAGCGGCAGGTGAGATTATGTCCGAGCAGCAGACGCTCGTGATCAACAAACTCTCCACAAAGGCAGCAGAGTACTTTCGGCCCATAGTGCGTGACAATGTGACTCTTGTGATGTTCCAAGGATCGGGCCACCTCGCCGCAGACCAGGCACTCCATCATTCCGTTCCGGATAATCAATGTGTTCTCACCTACAAATGTGATGAACTTGGATTCCTCGTCCTCCTCGCCACTTGACAACTCTCCTTTTCTCTCGGTATCCATTTGTGTTTCTTCCCACTCGTCTGTGTCGCATTGCACTCCCACATCACATGTTTGCTTTTCCTCCGTCTGGATAGCGCGCTCGCGGACTGGGTTACTAGTCTCCGGTGTCTTCTGCGGGCCATTGCGGCTGGGCAGTGGCACTATCTTGAGAGGTGGGCGCTCAACCTTAGCCGCCGGGGCGACCATAGCACTCTTTGTCCGAGTCCATGGCTTTTTTATGCGGGTTGTGAGTATCCTGTTTTCCAGCGCGTAGCGTGGTGTGATCAGCTTGGTTTGCACGAATATGAACTCCGGGAGTTCAAAGACTCGCACATTAATCGGTGTTACCTACGAAACAGATATATAATTCTCAAAGTTATTGAAACTTGTACATAAATCATAATTTTTACCTTTGCTGGAATTGGCTGCAACGTATTCGCCATTTCCAGATAACAAAAACAAAGTTGTAACAAATGCCAAAATAATTTAAGGCCGTTAAGAATAAATTTTCTTCAAGATTGGCTAGTTTTTCGTCCTTGCCTTAATTGTGTTTTGGCTAAAACAAGGCTTAAACAAAATGGCCAATTTCGAGGAGTAAATAGACAATTCCCAGACAGTATGACAATCCAGCCCTGGTATTTCAGATTAGTGTGGCCCTGTTCCATTATTATTATTATTGCCATTCACACGATTCGGCATCACATCAAATTTTGGCACCATAAAAATATTAATAAAGAAAATCTAAGAAAAGTATGCCGAAAGTACGCCGGAGCCGCAAGCCGCCCCCAGACGGATGGGAGTTGATAGAGCCCACACTCGAGGAGATCGAGCAGAAGATGCGCGAGGCGGAAACAGAACCACACGAGGGAAAGCGCATTTCGGAGTCCCTCTGGCCCATATTCAAGATCCACCATCAGAAGACGCGCTACATCTACGACCTGTTCCACCGCCGCAAAGCCATTAGCCGAGAGCTCTATGACTACTGCCTCAAGGAGAAGATCGCCGATGGCAATCTGATAGCCAAGTGGAAAAAGTCCGGTTACGAGAACCTCTGCTGCCTGCGATGCATACAGTCGCGCGACACGAATTTTGGCACAAATTGCATCTGCCGGGTGCCCAAGTCCAAGCTCGAGGAGGGTCGCATTGTGGAATGTGTGCATTGCGGGTGCCGCGGCTGCTCGGGATAAGCTCAAGGAAGGTTGTGGGACGCGGAGTCCCTGCATCTGCTGCGAGTGCCCGAATCCGAGCTCGAGGAAGGACATTCTGTTAAATATATGTATTCAAGCCAATAGCCAATAGCTATACCCACAGAGCGACACGCCTCCAAGAGAGTTAAGACATTGTAATGTACAAAAATAAAACAATTTTATAAATAAATAAAAAATGGATGCGACTTATCGATTTCGTGTCATTCACAGGGTAGTCTATCGTAGTTTATCGCTTTCAAATAATTCCATTCAGTTTAAAAATCAAAAATATTCTTCATTATGTTTATTAAAACGTTACAATTTAAATCTATTACACTTTTGCTTATAAACGAAAGAAACAAATCATTGTCAATTGGTACACTCATCATATTTTATACATCGTTTTCATCATATTCAACCCTCTATTAAACAACAAAACGCAAACACCAAGATTACAACTTATTGATTAGGGCGTACAAATTATAATCAAAAAATCTGCGAATAATATGGATTTTTGCTGACAAGGATGGATAGTCAAAATCAGTTAATGTCTCTCGTTTGTGGGCCATACATATGCCATATTTGTTAGTTGCATTTTCGTTATGTACAAAAAGAAAAAGGATCTTAAATGTAGACGAAGTTTTTCGTTGAATGTGTGCGAATGATGGTTGGTTGGATGTGGGTAGGTCAGGGCCCTGTGGACTAGCCGGGCGGGGGGAGGGTATTGCTGAAGTCAAGTCCCTTTTCATTCAAATATTTGTCAAGTTCTTAAAGGTGTTGTGCCGATGTTGTTGCTGTGCTGCTGCTGCTGTTGCTCTGCTGATGCTGCTCCTGTTGTTGTCCCATTTTATGGTAAATCCTAACTAACATTTCTCGGAAAGAGTAAAACACGGTTAAAGTCAATTGCTGCACAAGTGTTCCGTGGGAGTGTGCGCGAACGCCTCTACCATTTCTTCTTGTGCTCGTCCATGGATACGCCGCCAGGGCCCAAGGACACGATCATTAGCAGGCCACCAATAACCGAAAGTGTCTGTAATAATAATTATATCAAATTAGTTAAGATTCATTAAAGAATGTGCTGGTTGCTCTTTCTTTACCTGGAAAAAGTCATATTTCAAGAAATCCCTGAGTGGCTTGTAGGACGGAATGGTCCACCAGGCATTGTGATACAAATTCAGAACTGTAAGAAGAGCGACCAGGATCAGGGCCGACAGCTTCGTCTTGTAGCCCAGCACCACGAGCACCATCAGAATGGAGCCGATAATGTCCTGGATCACCTGCCACACGCTCAGCTCGAACCGGATGAGGGTGATGAACATGAACGCCAACAGAATGCGCCCTGCCAGCTGCATAAAGTTCTTGGGCTTATTATCGCCCATCGATGGCACGCCCGCAAATAAACTGCGGCCCTCGATCCGAGCCTCGGCCAGGACCAACAGTAGGGCTCCAATCAAGGCAAAGTTTCGCAGCAAGAACTGGAAGTCCCACAGAATGGAGTAGGCTATTGTCTGTGGAATCGAACAGAGAAGGACGAGGTTAGAAGGAGCTTTTCTTTGGAGTTTCTGCTTCGCTTACCTGTAGAACAACAATGAAGAAAAGCAGACCAACGGCGATGTCAACCTTGAATCTAGCCATTACCATGCCGCAGCCTCCCAGCTGGCCAAGCAGATTGACCAGCACGAAGACGGTGGCCAGGAACTTGCCACAGCCCCAGCTCATATCCATGTACTCGCGCTGTTCGTTCCACTGGAAGTACATGCGCAGGCCATCCTCGAAGAAGGTAGCGATGAGACAGAGCCGCGCCACCGTGGGCAGCACATTCTTGCCGCGCTTGATAACCTGGATGGCGAGCGTGGAGAGAGAAATGATTGTTCATTTAGTGATAGCTAAATACAGTTGGAGGATTGATAAGTGTGCGGGTGATAAGAGATGGGAAATATACGATGCCACTCATTGAGCGGGGCTTTCACACATACATGTGTGTTTGTGGGGAAAATGTCGGTTTGGCAAGACAGTGACGTGTCTCTCGCCCTCTCTATCTCCGCCGATCTCCACTATCCTATCAGTGTGCACGCCTAACGGGTTTTCAGGCCTATGTGAACAGCTCCCCAGCATGCTCTCGGTGCGATTTGAATATAAAAATACAAGGCACACACACGCACACATACACACAGAACCAAGTGGCGTTGGTATGCAGCATTATTAAACCATTTTGCTTTCTCAAAGATTATTACGGAACTCTCGATCTGGCGGATGGCGTCGGCGTCGGCTTCTCACTCACGCACTTACTCTCACCACTTTCACTTGCAAGAAGCGACTCGCACACTCTCGCAAACTCATGTGTGTGTGCGTGCATATGGATATATTTTTGTCTGGTGCAGACGCAACAATTGCGAATAGGAATCATTTTCTTGCTTGATGAGCAGGATGGGTTTCTGTTTAAATCGGTAGTCGGACTGAGTTAACCTTGCACATAGACCTCCCATAGTCAGGGCCAGCGGTTCGACTGCAGTTGAGCACTACACAATTTGCCGCGTTTGGGTGACGTTGGCAGTTTTCTTCCATGCAGCTGCCAGAGCCCCCCTTTAATGGTTAGTCCACGGCCAGTCTGTCCGATGTCAAGGGGTTTGTGAAAGCGCCTTCTGATTAGGTATCCCACCCCCGGCTCTAGTGCTCCATTCAGAGTACTGTTAAATAAATATTACCTGTTCCGCCACATCTTCCGTTTTCGCAATATATTCGTTGGGTATGCTCATGTTGGCAGTTTTGGCTGCTGTGTGTCTAGAACGTTGTTGCAGTCGCCTTGGTCACTGGCAGCTATGGAGACACTTTATCAGTTAGTAACTTTCTCTTTTCTTGTCCTTTCGAAATTATAATGGAATTACCAAAAAATCATGAATTAAAAACCAGGAACTTAAAAACACACACACGACACGACGAAAAGGCTGCAGCAGCGGATTTATCGCTAAAATATACCGTCTGACCGTCAGAAATATACCGAAATATACCGATAAGAAAACGAACTTGGCCCATTTAACCCATTATTTAAACATTATTTAACTACTTGAATTAAACCGCGGAAAAGAACATTGTTTGTAAATTCTTCTTGTAGATTAACCCTAAATTTCCTAGGTCCAGATCGCCTTTGATTTTGTCTAGAGGAATTTCGATACGATAGATATTCCACAAATTATATACATATTTTTGTTCACATTAAATTTATTTTACTCGACATTCACACCACATGAGATCTATCCTGTTTAAATAAAGGGAGCTTACGAGGGCTAATTTCGTTTTTCTATCGGTACGCAAGGTATATTTCTGAGAATCGATAAATTACAAAATTCTTTGCTGATTTTCTCAGTGTGGTGCATAATTTGTTTGGTTAATTTTCGCTTTAAATAAATGAAATGGAGCATCATACATACGCCAAAAGTGGCTCGAAAACTTGTAAGTTGCACGATAATCATCCGAGTTCCCCCCGCGATTCTGATATACGATTTTTTTCGTTTTTTTCTGCATTTGTAGGGACCATAGAGCAGAAACGCAGCCTGGTGACCAAGTGCATAAATTCTGATTATTTATTCAAGTCCCCCTCGCTGCGGAACGATCGGGCCTGGAAGTAAGTTTCTTGGCATTTATTATATTGGGGTTTTATCAGGGAAGGGAGTGGGGCGTACAGTGTACGAAATAAGCTGTGTCAAATGGAAAAAGTATTGAATGGTGCATGTGGGTGTACGAAATAAGCTTTTTATGGGGCAAATGTACGTAAATCTTACACTCGCATTGTATTAAACACTTTACAGGACTTTTAAGGAAACGGCCCAGATAGGTGATTTTAACGAGAATGAATTGCGCCAGCAATGGCAGGCCCTTGTGCATGACTATCGCGTGGAGAAGAAGGGCATAACTACGCCAATCAACAATCAGATCATCGCATCACTCAACAAGAAGTGGGAGTTTTTTGGAGAGATGCATAAATTCATGATGAAGAAGAATGACCATCATTCGTATGCGCAGAATGCGGAGAATGATCAGAAAGCGCAGTCGAAAATCGTTCCTCAAAATCCTAAAACACCGAAAAAGGTGGTGGAAGTCAGCCCATTTGATTTTTATCCTAAGACGGTGTCACCAAATAAACAGGAGCGTAAACAGGACAACTCCAAGGACGATGAGGGCGTGAAGGGTTTTGTGACCCCAACAAAGATTAATACGGAGAACGATGGAGAAGTAAACCAGGACGATATTCCGGCTCCTTCATTTCCAGGATGGGACGGAACGAAACTCCGCCAGCCACAATCAACAGAATACAATAATGCAGAAAATTTATCGGACGACTGCGCGGTGGAGGTCGTCTTCCCTCCTGAACTTTATCCAAAACCCCCGAAAAAAGTGGTGGAGATCGTACCATTTGTTCCTAATCCTAAGACACCGACAAAGGTGCCAAACATTAATACCGAGAACGATGGAGAAGTAAACCAGGACGATACTCCGACTCCACCAGAGTTGGAGAGAATGCAACTCTCGCAATCTGTCGAAAACAACAACCAAAACAACTCATGCTCTGTACAGCCCAAAGATCGTAAGTCTCGCAAGCGTCCGGCTGGAAAGGAACTCAGCGAGAGGGATAAGTACTACAGGTACTATTCTAGCGTATGCCTACCTATCAATTGGTTAATAATAATCCCCCTCCTTATTCCATTCTACAGACATCGCCGTCGCTACTATCGGACTAAGGAGAAGCTTGTGAAGGCATTGGGCCAGGCTGTGATTGCCATTTTGAGGGAAGTCGCTCAACGTTTGGGTGCTCAGACGGAGCTGCAGGATCTAGAAGAGCTATTTGCAAGCGACTCGGAACCATCGCCGATTGACAGTTGTTATGATGAGGACTCTGATCAGGACTAAAAAAATACAGATATAGGGTACATGGTTGGGTAGTCTATAAGTAAGGAAGGAGAGGAGCCCAAGGCAGATCCAAAGCACCTGCCACTGAAAGAGGGTCCACGTTTTTGTTATTCCCTTATATTCTGTTTGTATTTTTCTGTGTTTGTTCTCAGATGTTGCTCCCCGCAAAGGAGTGGGTGGAAAAGACTTATAAAAAAAGGCAAAGACTTTGTCTCATAATAACTAAGAACGATATCGAAATTTAAAAGCATTCTAATGGGAAAAGAAAAATACATACACACTGTATCTATCAGTGCTGTTGATTAGGGGCGGCGATTCGTTAAGAAAACGAAATGAAACTCAAGGAATAGATTTAATGTTACAAGAAGGAAGGAACAGAAAATGTAGAAGGAAAGAAAATAAATACAGAATGCTGCAAGCATAATAAACAACATCGAACATACATAAGTTGGAAATAACGAATTAAACAAATCTAAAAGAAATGCTAACCAAATACATATATGTATGTACACTGCAGAATAAGTAAACTACTACTCTAGGGTATTTCCTTTTGCAGGATTCTCTTGTGCGTCTCGATTTTCCTTCAATGTGGGAGCAAGGACGTAAGCTCTGGATGCTTTGGGAAAAGAGTTACATATCATTGGCTATGTTAGGTTCACCCGGGACAAACTCGTACTCGCCCTCACTGCTGCAATGCAAATAGAATATGGCAACGCTATATCTATATCTATGATTTTTTAGGGCGAGTCTTGATTCATTTGATTGAAAAATAGATTTAATTTTGTTCTTATTATTTAGACTCTTGAATAAATTTAAAAATAATATTTTCCGCCACTTACCTCATTGGTATATTTTTTAAATATGACGGTATATTTTGGTATATTTATGAGGGTCCGACGGTATATTTTAACGATAAATCCGCGGTCACACTGCTACCATCTTTGCGTGAAAAATTTCTTGGGAAAAAACACATACGATTTTCGTAAAAAATGGCTTCAAAAGTAAAGAAACAAAAAATTGAGACTGTGTCTGACGATGTAGTAATCCCTGACAATACTATAACTACCAAAAAACAGAAAAAAATTAAGGCTAAGGAATCTGACGCCGGCTATGGATCCGGAGAATTTTCATTGGACTGGAATGTGGATGACTACAGGACGGAATATGAGAGTGAGGAGCATTGGGAGTTGCGGCGCAGCTTTATGGTCGCCCACAAGGATCGCTTTGAAGAGGACCGCATGGTGTGCCTGGCTCAGACATTTGTCAATATGGAATTCCTCGGCTGCAAATACCCAAGCGAAACGATGCATCTGGTGGCGGAATTGTCCAAAGACATCGCTGAAGAGTTTAGACGGAAGCGTGACCAGCGTCTGAAGCGAACATTTGTCTCCGCATCGGATGCGGCGGAGCAGCGCGCCAAAGGTAGACGGAAGAATTAGTTCGATTTGATGAGGCAGAGAATTATTTATATTACTAGTAGTTATATGAGCCAGAGACCACGCATTCTTCCTAATGAATAATTCCAAATAACAAATAGGGCGCAGTGGTTCAACAAAGCCAAATCAACGCCAGGATGAGCAGCGGGGTAGCACCAATCCATACAGTCGAGAACGTCAGTGTTTTGGCGGCGGAAAACCAATTGATCTCTTCGAGGGCCTACGATTTGGCAGTCTCATACTATACCTAGCCGGCGGACGGAGTTGTTTGCGCAATTCGTGTACCATAAGCCAAATTAAGTACGAGGAGCGTCCGTGCAAAGAGCCCGAATCCACTGAAAAGACGAAATATTCCGAGATTCTTGTGAATAACGAGGTTATTGCAGTTGGCCAAGGTGAAACCCTCAAGGCGGCCAAGATTGCAGCATTTAAACAGGCATTGTTCCTGCTCCAAACACACTGCTACAGCATCAAGGTATTCAAGAGCATTACAAGATCGGCGTCAATTGACTTACAAATTCAAAATTATTCAGCTAAACGCCACCCGCCAAACCATCAAAGTCGAGAAGACTGTCAATGGTGTGAACATCAATGTGACGAAGGAGTCTGCAGATAGCCTGGGCGATCCCAAATTGGATGAAACCAACAAGGGCTACCGCATGATGCGTCTCATGGGCTGGACGGGCGGTGGCTTGGGACGCGAAAAGCAGGGACGCGAGGAACCCGTTGGGTATGTACTATTGAAAAAATTCTTTGTGTGATCGACATTGTAAAACTTAACTTCATTTTTAGATATTTGCTGAAGAGCAATCGCACTGGCTTGGGTGGCTGTAACAAGCCGCATGTAAATCTTGGTGACTATCGCAAGATGATTGAAAACTATGTCAAATCGGATGATATGCGCGATATGCAATTTGAGCCAACGTTCTCCAAGGAAGAGCGTGCCTCATTTCACAAGTAAGTGCCCACATCGATGGCATGATTTGGAAATCGTGCGCGTATTTGTAATTGGTAATTGAGGTACTTTGTTTTGTGGGGTCGGTTCTCACCTCTGCTCATAGTCTTCTTGTAATAACAATATATGGTTTAATCCTCAAGTATGTTCCACCACCATTTAAAAACCACATCACTTGACTCCACTTTCAGGATTGCGAGTAAATACGGTTTACGCTCGGGTAGCTATGGCAATGGGGAATCTCGGCGTCTCCTAATCACGAAAAAAGTTGACCACAAGACGATACTCCAGGAAGTACTATCCCGCCGCAATACAAAATTCACTGAGCGCTATTTTGTTCAAGTCCCCATGCAGAAGGCCCACCTCTTTCCGGGCCACGTTGCTAGTTTGGATCTGGAGGGCATGGATGATTAAGAGATTAAGAAAATTTTGTTGAAGCTCAGCTCATTCTACTGCTATAATTAAGGATAATTCTCTCAATCATTTAGTTTTAATCTTAAATATGTTAAAATATAAATCATATTTTCCCCGATTTCCGCCTGTGTTTACGTTTCGCTTTGAATGGCTGGCAGCCAGCTGATTACCCTTCAAGAAGAAGAGACTGACTGCATGCGCTGCACTTTTCGTTGTTTGAAATAAATATCCATAAATGTGATGGGTAAATGTCCGCGATGCGATTGCGAAGCAACTGGACAGAATCGCCTGGTCACCGACAGCTGTGGCCACACCAAGTGTCGCCTCTGCCTGGTGGCCGATGTTTCCGATTGTCTGGAATGCACCAACAAAGAAACAGTCTCACCAAAGAAAATCTCAAATGCCAAGATGACTGCAGACAAACGGATTACCATCACGGATCAGGGCTATCACTGCACCGTGTGCAAGAAGGATTTTCGCAGCCGCACCCAACAGTACTACCATCTTACCTGCGGCAACGACTTGCTCAAGAAGTTCTGCTGCAAGCAATGCAACCGCGTAAGTGGGTGGAGTTTTTGCCTTTCAAACTCCCGATTGTTATAATTGGATGATTCCTTTCCCCAATAGCGATTTGCCACCCACTCGCATTTAAAGTATCACCAGAACAATCACGTCAGCCTCTCAAAGTATTCCTGCAGCATTTGTGGCAAAAAGTTTAAGCAGCCAAACGTCCTGCAGCGTCACATGCGCATTCACAACAACGAGCAGCACGCCTGTGATCACTGCCACAAGGTTTTCCGCTGTCTGAGCACACTCAAGGATCATTTGGTGGCACACACAGATCACGGCTTTGCATACAAATGCGAAACTTGTGCCAAACTCTTTCAGAACAAGGCCAATCTAAATCAGCATCGCCAGAAGCACGACCAGAACAGCTCTCGTCACAAGTGTAAAGTCTGTCAAAAGTCATTCCTGCGCCAGTCCACGCTCAGGTTGCATATGAAGCGTCACGCGTTGCGCGAGCGCCAACCCTGTCCACTCTGTGGCAAGAGCTACAACGACGCGGATGCATTGGCCCGCCATTTGCGGCAACACAAGACTGTTGAGCGCTATCGCTGCACCCAATGCGATGTCACAGTCAATCGTCGGGATAACATGCATCGCCACCTTCGCTCCATGCATCCAGGTGTCTCATTTGAGAGCAGCGTGGAAATCATAACTCCAACGAGGGCACTCGAGCCAGAGACTGCAGAGGGTACCCCAACGGAGAGTCTGCGGTACAACAGCGTGATCAAGAGCGTGGGCAATGTGGAGCCAGTTTTGCTGCCCCCACCCTTACCCGAAGTGCAGCTGGAACAGCAGCAAGCTCCAGTAATGACAACCGCCCCCAAGCCCCTGCCAGATGCAATGCAAAAGCAAAATGTAAAACTCTACCGGAAGATCATCTTGGATCTGGACAACGAAGAGTACTCGAATGAGTTGACCATGGAGGAGGAGGTATCCACGGGTCAAGATTCTGCCGCAATGCAGGAGCAACGTCAGCAGCAGCGTGGCCCGGGCCACAGCACCTCCAATTTTAGCGAGATGCACTGGCGCAAGAATTTCAAATATTCGTATGAGAACGAACACACAAATTGATCGGATTCTAATGATATTCTAATTATGATGTTGCTGCCGCCGCTGCCCTTTTTGGCAGATGGCCCTTGATTTATTAGTGATTAGTTAAGTGCTGGGAAAGATGCCCACGAAACCGTCACCGTCATTTAGTTGGCCGCTCGCCATATTTCCGCGTGTGCCGCCGCCGCGCACCGACGTCAATGCCAAGATCGCTGGCTATCGAAAGAAAAGGAAGACAGTGCGAAAAGAGTATTCGAGTATTACCAAAAATCAGTATTCAATATGTTCGACGAGCAAGCGGAACTCGAGTCGCTGCAAGAGATCTATTATCTAACGAATGGTGCTTCGGGCAGTTGGCGCAAGTTGCTTGCCTTTGGCGTTTCGCTGGAGCAGCAGCTGAAGCGGAAGCTGCTCTGGATATGGCCCACATCGGTGGACTTGGAGAATTACAATCACTTTCTGGCCAAGCACAACATCCAGCGCATTCTGAGCATTGGCTGCGGCAGTGGTCTCTTGGAATGGCTGATGGCTGCAGCTGCTGGCGAGCATAAAATCTCCATGCATGGCTTGGAAGTCGATCGCAATTGGTGGCAGAGCAAGTATTCCGTGCGCAGCTTCATTCCTCTGAACTATGTGGAAGATGCAGCCAATCCAAGCCAACTGGACTCGGGTTTCTTGAGCAACTGCTGCAACGATGATCCACCATGTGCGATGTTATTTTGTTACTTTAACAATCGTCGGGCTTTCCTTGACTACCTGCGAATATATCGTGGCAAGTGGCTGATATTAATAGGGCCAAAGCCAGCCGTTGGCATACATACAGATCCGAATCCCATTCAGCCGCAGCTTCCCACCGATGTGTGGATTCTGCGGGAACGCCTCGACTGGACTGACCGGAATGTCGTGGCGTTCTATGAAAAAATAGCCTAATCTAGTTTATAGTAACTTTAATTGTAAACAAAATAAAACACCGCCCTTTAATACTCTAGCTCCTGTTCACCTCTATGTGGAATTTACAGGCCGGTATGCTCTGCACCTCGGCGGTGACGGTGCTGTTGATGCCCAGATTGCTGAGGGCTCCGCGCACCAGGCCACAGGTGAAGGCCACAAACTTGGGCGCATGTTCCAGTTGCTTGGTGCCCGGCGAGATGCGAGTTAAGAAGCGGAATGCCTTGTCCTGCACCACATACATGCCGTGATTGTTCGTCCGCAAGTTGTCTACCTGTTTCTTGTAGATGAGGGTCCAGAAATCGGTGCAGATGAATTTCATGGTCTCCAGCTCATCCTTGAATCGGGCAACCTCGCGCGTAAGACGCTCTATCAAACGATATCCCGTGGTGAAGCCAATGTATTCCAATGTTGCCAAGTCGTGCTCCTGGGAGTCGGAAGAAAGTTAAGAAATGATATTTCAATTAAGTTTTCACCCACCTTGTTGCTATCCAGACAATAGTTGACTATCTCGGCGTGCAGGCAGTCAAACAGAATTTCCTCCGACATTTTATGAATAAACTAATTTTCTAACTAATTTTCTTCAGATTTGTTTGCAGTTGAAGGTGGAACAGCTGATGTCGACGTTAACATGTGAATGGAAATTAAGATTGTGTTGACAGTCTTGCTTTATATCCAAATTTAGCCGTAAAATTTACCGGAACTGCATGCAAATATTATGTACAATAATTAAAGGTTAGAGAAAGAGATATAGAATAAATAAGGGTAGGAGAGAACAAAACATTAAATTCGCTAAAATTATTAGCATTCAGCTATCATTTGATAGCCTAGCTCTTTTTGGGCAAAGTTGGCATCACTGTGCGTTGTGTGGGTGGGAGAGCCACAACAACAAAAATGTATACAAACCGCCGCAAACAGTAAATTTCCATTAAAAAGTGAATTAAAGCTCGCAAAAATATAAATTGAAACATGAAAACGATGAGCTTCGGTCTGCTCGGCCAGAGCACCGCGCTCCACAGCATGGTATGCCAGTCGATATTGGTTTTAATCTGCCTGGTCTGCTACGGGTGCGGCGGACTGAGTGGAGCCGAGTTCGTCTTTGATGATACGGTGGCGATTGTGAAGAATAAGGATGTGAATGCTCTGCCCACCAACTGGACGGCCATCTTCACGCACGACTTTTGGGGCGCCTCGTTGCTCAGCTCCGATTCGCACAAATCCTTCCGACCACTGACCACGCTGATGTTCCACTGCGAATACGCCCTCCTGGGCCTGACGGCGGCACACATGAAGTTCTTGAATCTCCTGCTGCACTGTGTGAATACGCTGCTGATGTGGCGACTGGTCCGATCGCTCTATGTGGTTGAAATCAACGGCGAGCGGTGGGCCATCATTTCGGCAGCTCTGTTTGCCGCCCATCCAATCCACACGGAGGCAGTGTCAGGGATTGTTGGCCGGGCGGAGCTTATGTTCGGAATGATCCATCTCCTTTGCCTGCTGCTGACGGTGGCCAATACCGGGAAGCACAGTCCCCACAGCATTTGCCTGATACTCACCCTCACGGCGGTCGGGATGTTGTTCAAGGAGTCGGCCGTGACCATACCCATGTCCTGTGTGCTGATGGACTACTTTCAGAACGGGTTCTACCACCTGTCGCTCAAGGATCAGGGCAGGATATTGCGTACGCGCATCAGCTACATTGTCTACATCCTTGGGACATCGGCCCTCCTGACGGCTCGTCTCTGGTGGCAGAACTTTGAGTCGCCCAAGTTCAAAGAAGTGGACAATCCCATTGCCCACAACGACCACATCCTCACGCGCGTGCTCTCGCAGCAGTATCTGCTGGTCATGAACCTTTGGCTGATGCTGTGCCCCCACTGGCTGTGCTACGACTGGGCCCTGGGCTGTGTGAAGCTGGTGACCAGCATTTGGGATCTGCGGCTGCAGGGCGTGATTGGGTTCTACTCCATCCTGCTGACGGCCTTGATGAACTTTCGCCGCCTGCCCGGCATGATGCTTGGCCTGGGCCTGATGATCATTCCATTTCTACCCGCCTCGGGGATCATTCGCGTGGGCTTTGTTATAGCCGAGAGGACGCTGTACGTGCCCTCGATTGGCTTCTGCTTGCTGTCCATCTATGGATTCCTCTATTGGTACGACTACAACATCCACAAGCCATTTTGGCGCACTGTCATGCAGACACTTCTGATGCTCCTCTTTGCCGTGATGATGGTGCGGACACGTCAGCGAGCAACCGACTGGCTCAACGAGGATCAGTTGTTCAAGTCCGCGTTGGAGGTGTGCCCCGACAACGCCAAGGTGCACTACAACATCGCTCGCCTGGCCACGGACACGGGCAACAATACCAAGGCCTTTCAGCACTATCACTATGCCATTGAATTGTATCCCGAGTACGAGGCAGCTCTGATGAACCTGGGCAATCTCTACCGGGAGCACGGACAGCTGCAGACGGCTGAAAAGTATATTCGCATGGCCCTGCAGGTCTTTCCCGCATTCCCCGCCGCCTGGATGAATCTGGGCATTGTCCAGTCGGCCCAAAGGAAGTACGACCAGGCAAGGACCAGCTACGAGAAGGCTCTCAAGTATAGATCGAACTTTGCAGTGTGCTATTACAACATTGGGAATCTGTACTTGGAGCAGAAGCTCTATGCCGAAGCGTTGCATCATTGGCAGCACGCCGTGACGCTGAATCCTCGTCAGCCAAAGGCCTGGGCCAACATTTTAACCATGCTCGACAATCGTTCGCTGTATGACGATGCTCTGCGCATCTCGGATCAGGCTCTGCGGCATTTGCCCAACGAGATGAGCATCCTGTTCATACGCGCCAATGTCTTGGGCAAACTGAAGCACTATGTCGAGGCGGAGACGCTCTATAAGCGTGTGATTCAGCTGGATCCACACAACATGCTGTACTATTCGAATCTCGGTGTGCTCTATCATCGATGGGACAAGGTGCAGGAGGCCATTGAGGCGTATCGTACGGCGATAAGCATCAACGGCGCAAGGGCAACGACCGCACGAGAGAATCTGTCCAAGCTGCTGAAGCGCCTAGAGCGGGAGGCCCAGGTAACCGAAAGGTAAACTTTTAGCAAGGAAATACTTTAACACTGAGCAGGAACTGCGGTTGTGTGGTTCTTTCAGCGACAACTAGTCCCAGAAGCAGATTAGATCCTAGGATTAAGGTCACCAGAGATACTCATAGTCTAGTTAGAGGCAATGCAATGCAAAAGTACTTATTCCACCCGCATATCAATTGTACACAGTATTTATATATATTTGATGTATATTTAGGATAATTTATTTATTTATTTCCGTGAGGATATATACACTTATTCTTTTTTTAAAACACAATAATGATGGATGGGACACTTACACGGTACATAATTTAACTAATTTCTAGAACGTAAGGATCTAACCAGGAAATATGTGTGTACTCTAAGAAAACTATTCAATTCCATTCAAGATTCGTGATTAAACATAATAATACCGCGAATTACATGTATAAATATAAGAATATAAATAAAGACAAGCACCGCACACATATCATATGGTACACAGATCGGTTTGGGCTGCTATAACACATGGAAAAAGCTTGGAACATTTGGCAGAGAAATGCGAGACAATGCAAAAGAGAGATTAAAGTGTGGACAAGCACTAGATACTACAGATATATTATATGTGTGTATGCGTACAATGTATAACAAAAAAAAGTCTTTGTGTTTGAGATACCGGGGGGCTTCTGTTGGGTTTTTCTAGGCAAACGAGCAATAGCAAACAAATGTTGAATAAATAACACAGAACACGACCTACAACAGCACAAACTCTTCGCTTTCGCTATCATCCTGGTCTTGGTCAAAGTGTCCATGATGTGGCGGCAAGAGCTGGGCACCGGCATTCAGCTCTTGTGTCAAAGCTGCCACCTGCTTTATGAGCGGTTTGTATAGCGAATCGCTCATCTCGTCGCGTTCATGGTCCATGCAACGGCCGCGGGAGAACGAAAACAGCGGATAGTTCATTTCCATGGGCTGTTCGCTCTGTTGCGACGCCTGCTGCTGCTGCTGCTGGTGCTGGCTGCCAGTCATCTTATCCACAGTGGCCCCCGAGGCACAGCGCATGGGATGCAGATACTGCAAAGGCGTACAAATATTGATAGAGGGCTACTGATAGTGGGATGGCATGGGAATGCTTACCAATTGCACGCTCTCCATGAAGCTGTCAAAATCCGTTTTGGTGGCACAGTAGAAGCCAATGCAGCAACTGGGATCCATTTTGCTGACCTTCAGCTTGCGCGCCGACTTGCAGTGGAAGGAATGCAACGAAAAGTGCTCCTGATTGATGTCCACCATCTCCTGGCAGTAGTGCGGGTCCAGATGGATGAGTCTGTCCTCCTGGAAACCCACAAAGTACAGCGAATGCTTGGGCTTGCCCCCAATGATGCCCAGACAGTGTTCGGTGCTCAGCAGCAGCTTCAGGCAGTGCGCGTAAACAGGATTCAGCTTATCGCTGCCCAGGCGCAAGGGTATAAGGACAATCAAAGATTTCCAGTGCTGCTGATGTGGCTCCTGCTTAGGTGGCGCCTCCGCCTGCGGTCGCTTGGCTTGCTGCCAAGGCACATGGGGTTTGGGGGCTGGTTCCGGAATGCTGCACTGATCCTCAATGTCTTGCATGTAGACTGAAAGGCAAATAGATAGATAGATACGCTTATCAAATGAATGTGACGCTATCTGGCAGGCAGCCCCCTCCATGAGTAATGACAATTAGTCACGGAGGGTTTTCCGTATCTATTTGTCGATGGCTGCTATCTATTCAGCTTTAAATTTGTTGCCTGTCTCTGATACTCACTCGTGCAATCCTTGGCTACATAAACGCTGATATTGTCAAAGTCTGCATTCTCCTGAGCGGCGTGTTCCAAGGCGTGTCTATAATAAAGTACAAAATACCATGCCATAAACATTAAAGACCGATTTATGGCACTGCACTCACTTTAGCAAATAGGAGACGGAGGCAGGACCGTACCAGTCGCCTGGCTTCTTGCCCAAAGTTTCGCCCAGTCGCACCAGCGCGTGTATGGAGAAGGGGCTGCTCTTTGAGGAGCTATCCCCGAACCATTTGATGATCTTCTTATGCATATTATCCTCGTATGTGGAATGCAGCTGCGAGTCCGAATCATAGCGCCAGCCTTTGGGTAATGAAATCCATTTAGAATCCATTTAGATAGTGATTTGCCATCCACTTACTGCGCCCCAAAAAGTGACAGATGAGACCCTGAGCCAACAGCATTTGGCCGCTGCGCAGCATGCAGCCCCATCCACAGTCCGAAGTGTAGTTGGAGCCATTCATGATGGGAAACTCCCGGCGATAGGTCATCCAAACGCGGCTGTAAAAGTCGCGGCGAAAGCCCTCGATGCCCTCCTCCCAGGGCTGTTCTCCCACCTGATTCTCGACCGCATCCATGCCCAGCTCCTGGGGCACAACAATCTCATCGATATGCTGTGGATTTAGTGCGGGATACAGGGACGAGGAGGCGGTGGTCGAGCTGGCTGGTATGCTATCGAAGGCGGATGTGGCATGGTCGGGCGTTGAGTCAGCGCCGCTGGGAAGCTCTGTGGTCGAGCTCTCCATGCTGACGGGTGGCGTGAATCGTCGATGATAGCACCGTCCGAGGAGCCACACCGGCTGCTCCTTGGAGAAGCTCGTTTGCCTAATCTTGCCACTCCATCCGTACTTCACATTGTGCCACATGGCCACCAGCTTGGACTCCATGCCCTTTGTTGGCGTACGATTGGCGGCCAGGTCGGGGTCTTCGCTCTGGTGGTGGTGGTGCTGCTGCTGCTCCACGTGACCGCAGCTTGAATTGTTGCCGCCGCTATATAGCTGACTGAAGGCATTCATGAAACGTGATGACGTCGATATTTTACGCTGTGGTGTCGCTGTCGCAGCACTTTCCGCTTTCAGGTTCAAGTTCGCACTCGATGTGCTCACGGGGGAAGGCGATGGAGCACGGGGCACGGCGAACACGGTGCGTGGAATCGTTTGTATGGGCGCTGCCTGCTCCTCTTCGATGGCACCATCCTCCACAAGTGGCAGTGAAGGCACATCTTGTCTGCAACGTCCGCCCTCGACAATGGCTCCTTCCCCGGCATCGAAGAGCATCAGCTTGTCCTCCGTCAACTTGGACAGCAGGCCGTCATAGTTCATCTGCGGCGGTGTCGTCGGGGGGGATATGAAAACAAAATCAGATTTGGATGAACTACGTCGCTTTGTTCGCAGTTTCGAAAACTTGAAGAACTGGGGCATGGCAATGGCAATTGCGAGCCACTGGCTGGCCCTGACTGAACTGAACAGCCGATAGCACGGCCTAGCGTGCGGGGCGTGCTAATTACAAATGTTTACTCACTGTTTATTTGTTGACAGATAAAGATAAAGGTAAACTACACACGAAAAATTGCTTCTTGTTTTCCTTATTCTTATTCGCGATAAGTACATAGTAGTGTTGTTGTTTTTCCGGAACAGGTTGGCAGTTCGCGAATTGAATTGCGGCAGCGCTGCCAGATTGTGGCTTTTGGCTAGGCGAATTATTTCAGGCAAGCTAAAATGTGTGCGAATATAGAAATTGTTTGATTGTTAATTACATTAATTGCATACTAAGATACATACTGAGATATAATGTAAGTATATATTTTGTGGTATAGTGCCAAAGCTTAGCCAAAAGTTTCAAAGAAAGTGGCTTGAAATTTGTCATGGCTTGAAAAAAGCTTAACTGTCAGCACAGTTGTTTAACTTCCGGGTTGGTCTGGCCACCCCGTGGAACGGCCCCACAGCTGTGTGGGAGCCTGGAGCTTTTCGCGTATTGCGCAACTCAAATTGAACTTGGGACGGAGACGGGAATTGCCTGAACAGAACCAAAACACACGCAAAAATGGTAAGTAATGCAAATCACAAAATAAAATAAAGCTTATAAATAAACGGAAACTTAAACGCGCGCGCGCACAGCAAAATCCAATTCAAAGGTTGGTCTACACGTTCGGTCAACGCACCTACAGCCAATTGCCGCTCATCGGCGGACCAGCAGCAGCAGCAGCGATAGCAACAAAAGTCCAACCGATGATGGCCCAACAGCAGCAGTCGACGCGACAGTCCTCCTCCTCCGTGCTGGCCACGGAGTCCTCCAACAAGGGGATGATCATCCTAAACCGTCCCAAGGCCTTAAATGCCATCAATCTGGAGATGGTGCGCAAAATCTACAAGCATCTGAAGAAGTGTGAAAAATCCAAATCCCTGCTGATCATCAAAGGCACCGGCGACAAGGCATTCTGTGCGGGTGGCGACGTCCGAGCCCTGGTCGATGCTGGGCCCACGGATGAGTCGAAGAGCTTCTTCCGGGAGGAGTACACTACGAATGCCCTGATCGGCAACTACAAGATCCCCTACATCGCCATCATTGACGGCATTACCATGGGCGGTGGCGTGGGTCTGAGTGTTCATGGAAAGTATCGTGTCGCCACAGACCGGACACTGTTTGCCATGCCCGAGACGGCCATCGGCCTCTTCCCCGATGTCGGCGGATCATACTTTCTGCCCCGCCTGCAGGGGAAACTCGGATTGTACCTGGGACTCACGGGCTATCGCCTGCGCGGTGCAGATGCCTTTTATGCGGGCATTGCCACGCACTATTGCGACAGCAGCAAGATACCTGAACTCGAGACGGCGCTGCTCAACTGCCCCGATGCGGATGATGTGCCAGAGCTGCTGGAGAAGTTCCATACGAAGCCGGAGAAACCTTTCTCGCTGCAGCCAGTGCTGGAGCAGATCAACAAGAACTTTTCAGCCGATTCGGTGGAGGCAATTCTCGAGAATCTGCAGAACGATGGCAGTGATTGGGCCAAGAAGACGCTGGCAGTAAGTACTTGAGCACAAGCCACTTGTTAATTGGATGGGAAAATCGACCCTCGTTACGCTTTTAGCGCATAAATATTTGTAGAACGCGTATTCCCAGCTAATTAGCAACGACCTCACATAAATTAGCACTTAATTCACGCTCGATTTTCTATTTTAGACCCTGTGCAAGATGTCCCCCACATCGATGAAAGTCACGTATCGCCAGCTGGAGCTTGGCTCCCAGCTGTCCCTCACCCAGTGCCTGATTATGGAGTATCGGCTGGCCGTACGCCATCTGGAGGACCGTGCCGACTTCAAGGAGGGTGTACGAGCCCTACTGATCGACAAGGACCAGCAGCCCAAGTGGCAGCCCGCCCAGCTGTCGGATGTCACCGAGGAGCATGTGCAATGGTTTTTCCGCAAGCTGCCCGATACCGAGGAGCTCAAACTGTAATTTTGGGTTGGCCATTCAACCCGTTTTGTTTTTGTTGAGCCTGTTAATCCCCTCTTTGTCTTCCCTTTTTTGGCGCCGCTCAACTCCTTACTCCTTCTTTATGCACATTTACTTATTCGCAGCGCCTGATTTATGCATGCATGCATTCCACCTTTTGCCTGCCGTTTTATGCAATATTTTCGTTAACAAAGTTAAGCCACTTTTTGGCCGCTCAACTTATGGTATATTCTGCAATCTCTGTTTTATTTTTCTCTGTCTCATTCCAACAGCAAATAATCAACTGGAAGGGGAAATATTCGCGCCTTTACATTCGCCTGTATTTACAAAAATAACGAAACGAAACGTGAAATTTACTGCATTTAATACAATATATGATATACATATATGATTATATACTTATACATATATATAATATACAATTCGTAGTCTTAACTGAAACACTAATTGTGCCTAAAGAACCATTAGAAATCGTTAACAAGAATAAAGTGAAGTATATGTACGTTTTATGGGCAGCCTCTAGGCCTCTAGGCCGTCGTCCCCTCCTTTAGCTTTATGCTATCCTCCACCATATTTGTGAGCTGCAGCAGTTGATCAATCTGCGTGGCCTGGAAATTCAGTTTGGAGAGCTCCTGACTCCAGGTGGTGACATCCACACGCAGCTGCAGGCGTATCTTATCATCATCCGACATGCTAGCGGTATTGCCAGCAGGCGTCTGCGTTGCAGAACCACCACTCTTGACATTCCGCAAACGTCGCAGAGATTCTTCAGTTTTCTGCACCGATGTGAGGACATCCTTGACCACATTAAAGTAGCTACAAAAGTGGGGGATGCATATGAATAGAGTGCTTTCAGTGGAGATGAACAACTTACGCCTTGGTGATGTGACTGGCTACCTCTGAGAGGATCTGCTCCACCACTAGAGCCCCCAACTGGGATTCGTGTTGACTGGCAAACGCCTTCAGGGGGCGCAACATCTGCTCCACATAGCCTGAGCAGCGCGAAGGCACCTCTCGATTGGTCTTGCGATACAAACGAGGCAAATCATTCACTTGGCGCACATTCTCCGCCTCGCATTCGCCGATCAGCAACTCTACCAAGGTCTTCTGTATGCTGGATAGATGGGCACCCAGTGTATCGGCCAAGGAGGCTATGGATTGGCCCAGCACATCGTTGAACAACTTTGTTCGCTGCTGCTGGGGCACGGACTGGACAATAAGCTGCTGCAGTTCGGGCAAATATGCATCCAATTTGCGTATGTCCGCGTGCAGGGCAATCAGCAATTGATGGCGAGTGTAGGACTTGGCAAAGCTGCTGCTCTTGGAGACGGCTATGGCATCAGTAATCCAGCGGGAGAGCCGCAATACAATCTGTACGTTTAGTTTGTAGAATTTGGGAAACACTTCGGGCAGGTAGACACCTTCGGCCCAGCAACGGGTCACTGCTTCTTTGGCGGCATTGAATGTCGACAATTGGTAGGCATTTCCATTGGAATTGCTGTTCAGAGTGGAATCCTGCAAAACGGGTTCCAATTTGGCTTCGAATTGCCCAGCAATTTCCTTCGGAATAAAAGAATACAATTATCTACAAACTTAAAGGCTTTATAGAGCATACCTGAAAGCATATTTGGAAGTACACTGGCAGATTCCAACGCGCCTCAAAGCTCTTCGTTTGCTTGTGTTGGCGGTAGCTGGCCACCGCCTGCTCGCCGCTGCTGGTCAGCAGCTCCTCTATTTTGCCCAGAAAATCCCGTGTGCATTTGTATTTGATGTAAAACACTTCCGAATTGCCCGGGGCGAATATGGAGTTCATGTGCATCTCCAGTCGCTGCTCCACGTCCGACCAATAGCTGTTGACCACAAAATTGAAGCCCGCTAGCTTGTCCGAGTAGAGGGTGAGCCGCAGCAGGTCCGTCATGTGCAACGATATAAAGTTAAGTATCTTGCTGTAGATGCCAGCCAGGCCCTGAGGCGAGTTCTGCAGCTGCTGCTCGCCGATGATTCCGTTCATGTACGGCGCCACAACATCCTCGCGAAAGGCACACTCTGCCTGCGCACAGGCATTGAGAGTTATATAGATGCGCAGGCAACGCTCCAAATGCTCTGGGGCCGAGTTTCGTGCCTGTCCCAGTGCATCGTTGAAGAAACGACGCAAATGCTGATGTAGTTGCGTCTCCAGTTGCTGGATTTTCGTCTGCTGCTCGGCAGTGAGGTGGTTGGCGCAATGTTTTTCGTGAAACTTCAACTGTATGAGATCGAGGGCAGCGCGTTCCAGGTCGACAGCCTGTGCGGGTTGATCGCCATCCAGTTTCCGGGCAATTAGATCCTGCAGCTTGCCGGTTGTCTCATAGACTTTCTTCAGGCTCTGCAGACTTCGTTTGGCTTCGCGCAGCTTCCGCTTTTCCTCGAGTTGCGCCCTGAGCTCCGTCACATTGTCTTCAATCAGACTGTGAATGCTCTCGATGTCGCTGCGAAACTGCTCCAGGGGCCGCTGAATCGTCTCGATGGATTGGTCAAGTCCCACCAAATTCGCACTCAGATTCACAAAATCCGCGTAATCCTCATTGATTAGATCAATCATGGCAGATCGCAGTCCCTTTAAATACAGCCCCAGGTTGTCCCGCAGCTGTTCCAAGCTGGGAGCATTGCGATTCTTGTGCAGGAATTCGTCCACCGAGAAATTTTCCTGCTCGGAAGAACTTTAGTAGTAAGAGGAGCCCAATTCAAATGGCAATAACACACCTTCATGAACTCATTTTTGTCGAAACAAAGTTTCTCCGCGGTGCTGCTGGCTCCGGTGCCCAGGTGGACGGACTTCTTGGCCGGCTCATGCATATTGTTTGTCTTAAATTAAATAAATTCTAATTTTTATTGCCACGAACATACGACCAATAACAATGCAGTGCAGCCCTGGCCTTTTGGAGATGGGCTGCACCCGATAGAAAACTAATCGCTTCGAGCACATCGCTAGCATTATTTATGTGGGTTTTTTCATTTTTGCCGGTTTTCTAAATTATAAATAAACAAAACCATCTCAGAACTATGTCGAAACATGCTGGAGGTAACCACCGTGGCAATGCTCATAAGAAGCGACAGCCCCAGGTTGCTGTGGATGAGGACAATCCCATAGTTCAGGCATTCCGAAATTATTCGATTGAATTGACAACGAAACACGATCGCCATGAGCGTATTGTGAAGCTGAGCCGCGACATTACCATCGAGTCCAAGCGAATTATATTCACCTTGCATTCGATCGACTCGCGTAAGCAAAACAAGGAGAAGATTCTGGAGGAGGCCCAGAAGCGTCTCCAAAAATTGATTGAGGTCAACTTTCGGGCCATAGCGTTGGAACTGCGCGACCAGGATGTGTATCAGTTCCGCAATGCGTACTCCGCAGGCCTGCAGGAGTTTATCGAGGCATACACCTATATGGAGTATCTGTCCCGCGACGACAACGACGAGTCGCCCAAGTCTGTGTCTGACTGGCAGGCCTTGCAGTCAGTGATGCAATACGTGGAGGATCCCAGCAAAGTCAAAGACGAGGGAGCATCTGTCGAAGAAATGGATGTGGACGAAGAGAAAGGTGGCGAAGAAAGACAGGCCAAGAAGTTTCAGTTCTTCATTGATCCCACAGAGTACGTGCTGGGATTATCCGACCTAACCGGCGAACTGATGCGCCGATGCATAAATTCTTTGGGCAGCGGAGACACCGATACCTGTATGGAGACCTGCAGCACTTTGCAGATGTTTTACACGGGGTATGTGATGCACAAATATATGAGGAATCCACTTTACACTATATTTATCTTTTCGCAGTTACATCAGCTTGAACTTGCAGCGTGCTCGGGAGTTGTGGCGCAAGATTACCACTATGCGACAGAGTGTCCTCAAGGCAGAGAATGTCTGCTACAATGTTAAAGTACGTGGTGGCGAGGCAGCCATTTGGGGCTCAAATTTCGACCAAAAGCTAGCAGAGGATGTCGATGAGGGCTTCTACTAATGTAATCACTTAAATATATACATTAAATTTTATTATTATTCAACGGATTAGCGCTGGAATTTAATATAACATTTTATAAATCTATCAAAACATTGATTAGACCATCCTAATCGTAGTCGTCAGCATTAATGCGCTGGCTATCAAACTCAAGCTCATCGTCCTCGTCTTCATCTTCGTCTATGTCTGCGCCTGGTTTATATTCGAGATCATCATCATTGTCTCCTCCAAATGGATCCTCCTCCTCTTCGTCGCTATCCTCGTCATCCCCGGTCGTGCCCGCCTGCCGCGCGTGTGTCTGCCGTTGACGCAAACGATTCCGTATGTTCTGATCGGAATTAACTATTTTGCAGTTTAACTCCGTTCGATATTACTGCACTTCTGAATCTGACTTACAATTTGGAGGATGTGACATCCGTTGAAAGTGTACGGGATTGCGACGGTAGCATAAATTTCCAAAAGGACAGCTTGGTGTGCCAAGCGGTGGTGCCGGAAAGTTTGGTCGCGTATAGTCCGCATCACCCGGATGAGCTACAGCCATGCGGTGAAGTGGATTACGTCTAGGATTAAATGTATGGAGACTGGTTGAACTTCAATCTGTTTGGAATTGATTACCTGTAGCAGCGAATGCCAAAATAGCATGAATTGCGAGTGGTGCTAGAGGACACAACATTTGGTATATTATTTGCTGTTTGGCCGTTGCTGGTGGCAGGCTCCGTTTTTACCACAACCGCTGGGGAGGTGCTTCCACTATCGGCAGGTTCTACTTTTATAGCGCTACTTGTGTGGGCTGCCGCTGGCACCGCTGCCCCATCCACTGGTTCCACTTTTATCTTGACCCCGTCAGACGTGCTGGACCCGGGCTCTGTTTTTGTTGGAACAGCCATGGGATTTGGATCTGTCTTGATGGGTAGAGCTATTGCCTCATTATCGGATGGTTCTTCCTTAATTTTTGTGTTGTCCTCCAACTTTATACGCTTATCCGGGCTGCTTTCATCGTCATTTTTCGCGCCTTCTGCGGGCTGCTTCCTTTTGGTAGTCTCCTGCTCTGCAGGCAATGGCTTAGCCTCTAACGTTTCTGTCACAATAGCATCGATATCCGCAAGTTCGTTTCTGTTAGGAGAACTCATTTTAAAGGAATGCTTAAAACCCAAATAAACTAAAATTCGTTCAAATGTATTTCACAACAACACAATAGCGATGAGCGATTACATCCAAACGAAGGGTATTGGATTCGATTGGCATTTATATCGTTGATTTTGTTCTACCTAGTTTTATATACGATACGCTTGCGCGTTAGAGGAGTTTTGTTTTCTTACGAAAAATGCAATAAAAGCAAGTGTTTAAATTAAGCCAGTGAAGTAGAAAATTGATTCATTAATCGTATGAAATTATGTGGGCATGGCTGAGAGACTTATCTAGCTCGTAATATTTGTCGGAATATCAAAAACGAGGAATATGTAAAATAGAACTTGAATTCGCCACTCGATAGTTTTGAATGGAATGATTCAAAAAATCGATACTATCGATTGTGCCATCGATGGTTTGACAGAAAAGGTAAGAAAAGGCTTTTAAAACTATATTTCAAGCAAAGAAGGTGACATGCCTCAACCATGGCACTCGCATTGTCAGTTACAATAACAGCCAGAACCTTTTGCAATGAGTTGGCTATGTTGTTGAATGAATAAAGGGATCTTCAAGTTTTTTGGTTGACACCACTGCACTTTTCAAAATCAAAGTAGAGATGGTGAAGCGACCGATAAGAGCTCAATAGTATCATGAATAGTAGAAAAACCATCGATACTATCGATAGTTCCATCGATGGTTTGACACCTCTACTATACGCTACGCTTGCGCGTTAGGCGTCTTTCAAATTTGTTTTTAACCAACTAAATGGCATTTAAAAAGCGTAAGATTGTCAGCCAGGAGTTATTAAGAGTGTGAAAATGTGAAAATGCTTTTGTCTGGGCATATAACAGATCAGTTTATCACTAGAAAAAGTGTAACAAGATCCGCCTGGTCTGCCACTTCCTCCGTGTATGTATTGTAGTTGTTGCTGCTATTTGATTACATAGCGCGAACGCAGGAGAGCGAGCGAGAGCGCACCATCTGCTATTACCAAAAAGGGGCAGCAACAAACCGCATTCCAGAGAGCGGACACGACGAAACCAGCATCAATGAAAAAGGTGCGTTTGAGAATGGAGCGGCGGCAGCAGCAGCTCTGAAGATGTGTGCCACGATCCACCACTTTGTTACCGTTTTTTCAGTGACCCGCAATGCATCACCATCATCCGCCATTGCCCATAACGGGCACAGCATCTGTGGCAGGGGCAGCAGCAGCGGCAGCGCCAGCGTCAGGCAATCCATCAGCATCGCCAGCCGTGGCATCTGGCTCGACCGCGACGGCATCCACCTCGACCGTCCAGCAGCAGCAGCAGCGGCGCCGCAAAAAGCGTCCCAATTACAACTACAATGGAACCCGCACCGTGGAGGTGCGGCGGGGCTACAATGGCTTTGGGTTCACCATATCGGGACAGCAGCCATGTCGTCTGTCGTGCATCATCAGCAGCTCGCCCGCCGAGCAGGCCGGCCTGCGATCCGGCGACTTCCTCATCTCGGTCAACGGCCTCAACGTCTCCAAGCTGCCGCACGAGACGGTGGTCCAGTTGATTGGCAACTCCTTTGGCAGCATACGCATGCAGATAGCCGAGAACTACTATTCGGACAGTTCGGACGAGGAGAACGCCAATGCCACGCTGCAAATGCAGCGCAGTGCCAGGGGCCAGCTGCTGGCCGCCAGTTTGCGCCACAAGCCGCGCTTCCTGCATCACAAGTCGAAGATGCATCGACTGCGAAATTCGCCACAAAAGAAGCTTCCGCCGGATGCGGTGGAACCAAAGCCAAAGCCAGCACCGCCCACAGATCACTCAACGCTTCGGCCAGTTCTGGAGGACGCCCCGTTGGCGAATCTCACTGGCAAATCGGCGGATGTGGCCAATGTGAGTGCCATGGTGCGGGCCGTCGGTAGTGCGGCGCTGGAGTATCGCGTAATTGTGGGCTATTTGGGCACCATTGAAATGCCCAAGCAGATTTCGCACAGCTCGAAGCTGCAGACGGTGCGCTCCTGCATACGGAAGCTGCGGCAGGAGAAGCGCCAGCCCACCATAGTGCTCATGTGCATCACCCCGGACAGCCTCACGCTGCAAAGCGCCAATGGCGGAGTGCTGGCCACCTATGCCTCATCGAGACTGAACTACGTGAGCTCCTCGTCAGAGAGCGAGAATCGTTTCTTTGGCCTGGTCACCAGCGCCGTGCACAACACCCAAATCGAGGAGGAGTACGAGCCAAATGCAGGCAGCGGCTGTGTTGGCCAACACATCAGCATCTCGCACAGCTGCCATGTGTTTGTGATCGACACAAAGCTGATCGACCACGGCCAGCATCTGCAGCGAGCGCACGAGTTTCGGCTGCAGTGCACCAGGGATCCCATATCGAATCTGTGCCTGGAGTTTCCCAACAACTCGGAGTACGTGGTTAATCTTGTCCGTAGCATGTACACCATGCGCATCCTGCCACCGGCCAGCCGCAGCCATCAGCCGGAGTATGAGGCAGCTGCAGGCGCTGCGGCCGCCGGTGCTGCAGCCCACTCCCCGCAGCCGTCGAACCACAGCGAGATCTCCACAACCACCTCCAACTCGGACTCGGGCATTGGGTTCAACAACGACTGCACCAACATTTCCGATCGCATTCTGGTCGTGGATTTTCTTGGGGCAGGAGCAGCGGCGGCAGTCCATGCGCCAGCAGCAGCACCATCTCATCCGGCCCCAGCCCGTCCGCAGGGGATTGTGGGGATGCCCGACAATCGATTGACCGTCAGGGCCATGCCCGATCCGGCTGCTCATCAAATGTCACCCTCGGACAGCGCCTCGCTGCGTCGTCCGAATCTTTTGGCCAGCTTCAATCTCATCAAAAGCCCGGCCACAAATCTCACATCCACGCGATCCTGTGACGACGTCCTCAATCTGTTTGTGGACGATTCGCCGCGTGTCCTGGCTGGTGTTGCCTCCATGGATGACATATCCCTGCACTCCACTGCCCCATCGCTGGACGAGCCGTCACACATGTTTGTCCATCCTTCGTGCGTGCCGCGCAAGCCACGCCGCTCGCTGGCTCTGGATGCTGCACCCTCGACCCCGCACAAGCTGAGTGTCCAGGTCTTTGGGCAGCCAGGCTCCCGCCACTCCCTGGGATTCGAGGCCATTGACAGCATTCAGTCGTCGGCCGGTGTGGCCAGCATCGAGCCACCGATGGACACTTGGGCCAGCCTACAGAATCTACATAAAACCCCCAAGGATCGCCAGAGTTTGTCCGCATCCTCGTCCACACAGTGCCTACTAGAAGCTACCAACAGTGAACCGGATCTGGGGGTGAGTGCTACAATTTTTGTATTATTTTTTCTTGGGACCGTACCCCTCTCCAATCTGTTGGCGGAAATGGTGATGGTATTCCGCTTTAAATCGTAGAGAATTTAAGAGACTTCTGATTTATATTTAAACTATGTTAAGGGTTTCAGCGGGGAGCTATACGACAGATTTACGAAACCGTTTAATGATACTCCTTTTATGGAGGTCGTCCCTCTTTTAATCTATCTGGAACACCTGGATCAGTCCTATTCAAGCCTCAAATAGTGCACTGGAATTGGGGGATTGATGATTGATTTCTTAATATATTATATCTTTTTATCCACGGCTGTTGTACAGCGTGTGTCCGCCCATTTTGACGCCTAGATCTTATAGAATATATATGGAAGATAGAGTAAGCTATTCTATGTGCAGGCTCTCAATTGGTAAATCTTGTGGCATCCATAATTTCGAAGATATGGGAAAGCTGTAAACGCAGAAACATAACGATCTACCTTATTATCGTAAATAATTGCAATGGACCTGTCGTTTGATGGTTTATCAACTGTAGGGCTCTATATCCATTTCTAAGGCGCAAAAGAATTATAAAAGTGGGATATATGTAGTTTAAGATATGCTATATATAAACGAGGCTATAGAACAGATATCTGTATAAAATGTGCCCTTTTATGGGCCGCTGTTCTCACCCCCATATCTCTCTGAACCGTCCCTGTGGCCAGTACAAAGAAAATATGTTTACCTGGACGCTTGTGGTCCGCCAACTGTTACCTGAGAGCTTCTTTCCCTCCAGAGCTTATCGCTTCGCTCCACTCTCTGGGCCCCCCAGATAAGCGGCAAGAACTCTCCCCACACACAGATACACCATACAGCCATGCGGGAGTACTCGTACAATCAGAGTCCCGGTCCCAGAGTCGGCTGTGGCGTTAGTGTCAGAATAATATTTCCTTTGTCAGCGGCCCGCCGGGTCTCCAGTAGTCGCAGTGCCCGCTTTGCCAATGGGTGATGGGGCAGAGAGCTCCCAATGTCCACGATTCAAGATCTATAGACGAACAAAATTATGGATTTATAGCCATTACTGTTACAACGTTCTAGTCGGGTCGGATCGGATCGTATCGGATCGAATCGGAGCTGTGGCTGTGACTTCGTTTCGATTGTTTGCTCTTATCGGACGGTAAGGGAGCAACGCGTCATAATTCGATGTGAGATAAGAGCGGAAATCGCGTATGATTGTTGTTTTTTGTTGCTAAAAATAAATTGTGCATGACGTCAGAGGCGGTGTGGCGCGTAGGTCGCGACAGAGAGAGGGAGAGGGATAGAGGTTGGGATGTGATGGGATGGAATGGGAATGGGACGGCGGAACGTCGAGCTTAATTCAATCTAAAGCAATTAACGGCATCGATGTATGTATGTATGGTGCTGACCTTTTCGTTTCGCCTGCACACACACACACGCGCAGACACACCTCCCTCCCTCCCTCTCCCACTCTCTGGCAGATAGCGCTTACGTGGGGTGTACTGTACAGAACATTATAACAGTGTGTGTCTGTATCTGTGTATGTGTGTCTGTGCTTTATTCGTAATTTTAGTTTGATTTCTGATTTGACAACACGCGATTTTTCTGCCTCATTTTCATTTTCACTTTCGCTGTGCCCACCGCCGTGTCGTACGAATTCGATGATTATTCGATTATTTATTTTATATATTTACACGAAAAGTT